TCCCAGCACCCATGCAGGGTGGCTTGCAACTGCCTGTAGCTCTAGCTCCAAGAGATCTGATGCCCTCTTCTGACCTTCATGGGCACCTGTGCTCGTGTGCACATACCCACACACAGATATACACACATATGCCTAAGTAAAGATAATAAACAGAATTTAAAAAGTGCAATTAGGGGGCTGGAGAGATGGCTCAGCAGTTAAGAGCACTGACTGCTCTTGCAGAAGACTTGGGTTTGGTTCCCAGCACCCACATGGTGACTGACAACTGTCTGTAACTCTAGTTCCAGGGCCTTTGACACTCTCTTCTGTCTTCCCCAGGCATCGCACGACACAGGTACACTTGCACTTACATGCATGCAGGTAAAACACATATAAAATAAATAAATAAATAGCTTAATCCGATTTTTAAAAGAAGCACATGGTAGAAACCTGAGTCTCTATGACCCAAAGATACTTTCAGCCTGAGGGCATTCGCCAATCTGGAAGAAAGGGCTACATGATGAACTAGCTAGTGATAGCCCCTCAGAACAGAGCACTAAAAGGAGGCAGATTCTGATAGTCACGTCCCCCCTTTGAGGTCTGGGCTCTCAGGATGAAGGGCATTTCCAGAGAACCATCCTCAACAGAGACAGGCCAGCTTCACACAGGGACCACCAGCCTTGAGGTTAAATTTGGAGACCCTAGCCTGGTACTGTCCAGTCACAATAACACAAAACCCTTGTTAATATGATGGTATCCCAAACCAACTAATTCCTATCAGTAAATTTTAAAATACAAGATCCAGACAAAGGGATCCAGGCCCTGATACCTTGATAAGAAGGTGTGGGAGGGGAGACGCCTGGGCCACTGTCCTGCCTGCTCTGTGTATAGGAAATCCAACTCCCAGCCTGCCTTCCCTCAGCATCCCAGAGGGGACCCAGGCTATTGTCCCAACTTTATAGATGCGGAGTCTGACACCACCAGCCTGGTGGGAGGCCCCACATTCACTGTGAGGGAACCTGCATATCAGGCCGGGGCATAAGATGTACTGTTGGGATGACTGAGCTGTCTTTAGGAAGCCTCTGCGGCTTATGTAGCAAAAGCAGATGCACATTGGAAATTTGCAGTGCTCATGTCTGCAGAGGGAAACAACTGCCCTACTGCCTTTGCTGAGTCAGCAGTGACCATGGGCAGAGGATAGGCAGAGGCTGGCCTGAAGGAGTCTCAGCATGGTCAGAGGCAGGGGAGTGGTGTTCATTTACGGAGTAGCCCTCCCTCAGGTCACTACATGACGGAGCCCTCCCAATGCTCAGCCACACAGGCACTTGGCAGAACTTGGGAGCCAAAGGCAAACAGCGAAAGAGAATAGTGTCTGAGTGGACTAGGGACTCACCATCCCCAGTCACCGAGCAACGTAAGAGTGATTTCAGAGTGACCCAGGTTGCAGACAGCAAGCCCACATTCCAGATGTAGAATATAAATTATTCAGCATCCTGAGTGCCACCCACCCTAGGTCAACCTGGGTACCTCTGATACTCCTGGATAGCGGCCACCACGCCGTCTGAGAGTGGTTGTAGGTCAGGGAAGGTGACAAGTTCCTTCAACTGGGTTTGCAGTCGCGCTACGCGAGGCTCCTCTGAGGCCAGTGCAGCCCGTGTCCCCTGCAGGACATGACAAAGCCAGGGGTCAGGTGAAGCACCTCAAAAGGGTGAGAATGTGTATGGAGGGGCTGAGCTGAGGGGGGGGTGTGACTGGCCCGGCTGGAGGACCTTGTCACTGAGGGCATGGACTGGGACCCTTACCCTTGGGCCTGGCCCCTACTTCCCCGGCCTGGAACTTAGCCCTTCCTGTAGCTACAGGGTTGCTAGTTGGTACCACCTGCCTCACAATGACACTGTGACAAATGCTAACTTTGCTTCTCCGTGTCTATTCCCTTCCCACCCTTTTCCTGCAGTCCTAGGCTACGGGAAGTTGCCGTTGAACTACAGGATCCTGCCCCTTGCTGGCTCACACTTAGTAGAAGGTACAGTCTACCACTGCTGTCTACTGAAGCACACCAGCTGTGGTAACAGAGCAGCCTGGAAACACATCTGTGTTTTCATAGCTGTGTGACTTTGGGCTGCAGCCTCAGTGGTAAAATTGGTCCTCACCACCAGTCACATGGGATGTGGGACATTGACAAAGTGGTTGGTACTGAGTGAAGCAAGTGTGTCCCATCCACACTCCCTCAGTCTCAGGAGACATCTGGGCTTCTGCTCTGAATGGTGACAACCTCTGTGCTAGACAAGAACAGCTCCAGCTAGACCAGGAGGGCCATTGGTATGGGCCAGTGACCCACTGAGTGCTGGTACCCAAGGAAGAAAGCTCAGGGCTAGGGGTTCTGGCTTGGGGTAGATCACGTGCCTAGCATATGCAAGGCCCTGGATTCTGTTTGTACCACTGAATAAAAAGACGATGATGAAGAAAGCTCTAACAGAGGAATTTAGGTAACACAGACCATCGGTTAGAAAGTAAGACTTCCTAAGCACCTTTTCTGGCCTGTCATTAAATTCACACAGACCTGAAGTTAAAGAAATTCTCTCAAAGTTGTCCAGGAGGTGAAGAGGAGCTCAGCCTGAGCCCAGGGGTCTATTCCCATGATCCCACCCTTAACCAGTGCACCACAACCCCAACGCAGACTGAGGCGGCGACCCACAAAGACACACAGTCCCCTTTGTAGAAAGATGACATTGCTATGTGCCCCGGCCTGCAGGGAGACTGGAAAAAAAAAACAACAAAAAACAACTGAGTACATTGCAAATGAGTAAAGATTAGGGAAACACCAGGAAGAGAGGTGGAGCAGAATCTGGGGTGACTTTTCTTTTAGGTATTTCCTAGGGCCTCATGCAAACTGGACAAGTGTTCTACCAGGCCCCAACACCAGCCTTCAATATTTTCTTCCATGGAATCCTGATATTAACAGTAAGTCAGGGGTTGGGAAGGTTGGGATCTTTATTTAAAAACTTTGTAAGACAAATCTCCTACTGTGCTTTCACTGACAGTCCCTAGGTGGTGCTGATGGGAGGGGCTGTGAGCCTTCAGGAGGAGGAGAATTCTGGAAGGGATCCTTAGATCCTTGGGGGTGTGCCCTTGAAGAGGACGATGGGCCTGTCTGGTGTTCCTGGCTGGCTCTGCTTCCTGGCTTAGATAACTGGTTGATTCTTCCATTTTTCCATTTACTCTCACCATGATGTGCTGTCCCTGGCACAAGCCCAAAAAAATGGGGTCCCCAGATCTCAAACTGGCTCTTTCAGAAGCATGTACCACAATACCACAATTAACCTTTGCTCTTCATAAGGACTGCTTAAGGTGCTTTGTTAAAGTAACATAAAGGTGACTAAGAGCTCCTGAGTGGGTGGGAGGGGCCATCTTCTGATCTGGAGCCCACACTCCCTTCCCCACATGGACGTCCCTCTCAGCCTCCCCAGGCCCTGCCCTCTGCTTGCCACTCATCATCTCTCCACTGTGAGCTTTCCCTCCACCACTAACCTCCCTGCTCACTGGCTGGGACACCCATTTCTCATGCCACTCCTGGGAAGAGAAGGGCTTCAATGCCCAAGTCTAGCTGTCCTGTGTTCCTTGGTCTTACTTATTCACCAACTCACTATGTGACTTTAGGGACTGTGGACAAAACAATCTTTTCAGGTTCAGTTTCCTTATCTGTAAAACAGGGTTGAACACCCCCCTTGTCTATGACCCTTTCAGGGAGCTGGGGTGCCAGAGTCAGGAAAACCAAAGAGAGACAGCTGGCCTGGAACTCATTATGTAGGCCAGGCTAGCCCACGTGCCTCTGTGTCCCAAGTGCTGGGATTAAAGGCCTATGCCACCACACCCTCCTGAGAGATGGTTCTTAAGGTGGAACCCGATTCTTATCACAGATGTGTCCCATGTGGCTTCTGAGGCCCAACACACCCAGGCTGCTCCATCTTGGTCAAAAGCTACTCACCGAGCACAGTCTCCAGTGGGCCACCAGCTCATCCTCTGTGGCAGTTTTCACCGAGGGCTCCAGGCCCTCCTGGGCCAGCCTCTGAAGACCCTTCCTAAACACTCCCAGCTCGGCCTCCAGCTGCTGGATCTGCTGCTCACAGGCCCCCCTGGACTGGAGCAAGCCCTGTAGTCGTCCTTCCTCCTCCTCCCAGAGGACTCGAAGCTTCTCTAGAACCTTCCTCATCTCCTCCAGCTCTCCCAAGATCTTCTCTGCACCCAAAGGGGAGGTGCTCTTAATGACACCCGCAGCCTGCTCCTCCAGCCTGTTCAAGGACCTCTCGCCCCTGGGGAAATCCTTGGCGATGTCCTAAGGGGTGATGGGGCACAGCAGGGAAGCAAGGGTTAACTGCACTGCTCAGAGCCGCTCTGGGGGCTGACCCAAGGGTGGACTGTCTGCCCTCAATAACTCAACTTATGACACAGAATTATTCCCTCCCAAGTCCTTTTCAACGCATTTGATTACTTTGAGGAGAAAGTTTCCATTGTCTTCAGCACTTTCTGGCTAAAGTTTCTTTAAAATAAACTATCTCAAAGCCATCAGCAGGCTAGACCATGGAACCATGTAAAATCGGGGGGGAATCACGTCTCATTCACCATGCCTAGTTTTATTTTTTTTTTTATGTTTTTACACTAATTCTAAATGGTGCTTGCTTTCCCTTTACAACAGTGATTTCAGCTTTCTTTTTTCTTTTCTTCTCTCTTGAGAGAGAGTCTCATTATATACAAATATATAGCCTACCCTGGCCTCAAAGTTTCAATCCTCCTGTCTTAACGTCCTAAGCCCTGGAATCACGGGGGAGCACCACCACTTGGCTTTAAGTTTTCTTTCTAAACATTCAAAGGCAAGTCGATTTAAATATAAATACTAAAAAAAAGAACAAGTGTCAAAAAACACAGTAAAAGATAGCAATGGCTCAGTGGTTAAGAGCACTGGCTGCTCTTGCAGAGGACCCAGATTCAGTTCCCAGCACCCACATGATAGCTAATAATCATTGTAACTCCAGTTCCAGGGGATCTGATGCCCTCTTCTGGTCTCTTCAGACACTGCACACACATGGTGCACTTACATACATGCAGACAAAACATTAATACACATAAAATCAAAATAAATTTTGAAACAGAATTTTCTTGAATTGCTAATGATAACACATCCACTCATTGGGTCCAGGGAGCCAGAGGCTTCTTCAAGGCCACATAACCAGTGTGAAAGCTGCTGTGAACCCGCTTCCCCACAACCTAATACCACACAAAGTTCTTTACCTTGCACATGACTGGCATCTGGGCTAGATGACTATGCTGAGCTGTCCTGGCCATTGTAGGATGTTTAGTCACATCCTTGACCTCCATTCTCTAGAAGCCAGTGGCATCACCCACAGAGTTGTGACGAAAATGTCTCCTGACATGCTATCTCCCCTGTATTTGAGACCCACAGGTCTAGCCTGGAGTCCTATGAGTCCAAGTGCCCCACCTATCAGTCATGCCTCTCCTCCCATGGGTCTGTGCTGCAGGATGTCTGTGTCTCACATGGCATCTAACATTCCCCACTTGCAGCATGGGGTAGTCCCTCAGCAGGGCCCTGGGACACCCTGAGATGCCATGGCTGGGACATAGTGGTGTACCTGCAGTGAGGAGAGGCGGAGCTCTGTGGTCAGCTTGCAGTTCCGCCCCAGGCAGCTGTGCACCTTCTCCACCACGGCCTTCAGCCACAGCTGGAACTCATCCACACCCTCCTGGTACTGTTCATGCTCCTGGGTCACCTGTGCCAGCAGGTTTACCCGGTCCTGCAGGAAAAATCACCTTCCATGAGGGTCCCCAGCCCAGCTAGGAGCCTCCTCGCTAGCTGTGTCTGGGGCCCTTTGAAGCCAAAAAACCAACAGTTGGCCTAGGGGTGTATGTCTGTACCCATGTGTGCCAGGGTTGCAGGTGGCAGAGCCATGATCTGGTCTCCCTAACCAGCCCTAGGGAGACACACACATGCCAGCACCAGGCCCGGTCAACCCTGGATCAGACATTCATTCCTGCTGTGTGTGAGGTATGCCGCTGGACTGGGCTGTGGGGACAGCACAAAAGAACACAGAACATTGTCCTTCTGAACCAAGTATAGGCAATGCTAAGTGCTTTCTATGCTGAGCTCCATGAACCCTCCTGCGCCCCCCATGAGGCACTCCCATTATTATCACAACTTGAGAGACAAGGACACAGAGATAGAGAAGGCTCAGAAAGATTAAGTGACATGCTCAAGGTCATCCAGCCAGGACAGCCTAAGATGTGGGCCTGCGCTACATAAAAAAGCTAGCTGAGCGTGAGCCAGAGAGCAAGCAGTCTATCTAGTGAGCCAGCAAGCAGTCTTCCTCTGTATTTTCTGCTTCAGTTCCTCCCTTGACTTTCTTCAGTGATAGACTGTGACTTGAAAGTGTAAGCCAAATAAACCCTTTCCTCCCCTAAGTTGTTTTTGGCCAGTGTGTTTTTTCACAGCAACAGAAAAGCAAATTAGAGTCAAGGGAGGTGGCTCGCAGTCCAAGTCAAGGAAATGGAGCAGGAGACTCCTTTATAAGCACATCTGTGTGGCTGGACCACAAGTGATAATTTAATTAACACTCAATGATCACAAAACACACCCTCCTGAAAAGGAACCCTGGAGTCAGACACTCCAACAGGCCTGAGCTGAGATCCAGACAGCACATGTGAGACTCCACACTCGCTGCTCATCAGGGTATCACGGACTGTTTCTATCGGGCTGAACACTTTCGCTTTACCTGCCCTGTGACTTCTGTCACCATTGCTCAATCTTCTGGGCACCACTTCTGTCTGATAAGCAGCCACTGACAACGTGGAAAGGGACGGCCCAGCACCCAGCAAACCTTTCTTATAAACACTCAAACTTGAACTTCGCGTCATTTTCCCATGTCATGAAATAGTTTTGAATTTTTTCCTGCCCATTTACATACATGAAAACTGTTCTTGGCCCAAGGCCACCCAGCCACAGGAGGGGCTGGACTCGGGTAAGTGAGTTGGAATGTACTGACCTCGGCTCCTCACCGTGGAACAAAGCCATATCTAAGAAGACCCTTCCTAATCCTGGTGGAGGCTGAGTCATGGCCCTTCCCTGGGAAGGGTGGCCAGGTAGGTGGATGTGAAAACCTTTCCCAGCAGCCTGTGTATACTTCCCCTTACCACATCTACACAGTAGTAACCCCTTAAACCACTGCACCAACCACAGCAAACAGGAGAAAACCTGTCCATTTTAGAGATAGGAAAGTCAAGGCTTAGAACCAGGCTATTCAAGAAAGATCTGAGAAGTCTCTCAAAGCAAGGACTTCGGCATCCCAAACTAGACCCTTGCAAGGAACATCACTTTCATATTTCAGTCCTCTGCCCCTAGAGAGCACTGGGGTCTCTCCAGTTCCTTTGATGGCTCCCACTGTCTGTGACATGATTTGCACCCAGAGCTCCCTCCATCATCAGGATGAGAAACAGTTGGTTACTAGGAGCCACCGAGGCTGAGACTGCTGCTGATGGTGATGGATGTGGGTGGGTGGTGATCCCTCCCAGGAACCGGCAGGGGCAGCTTCCCTCCTATAAGTGATGAGGTGCTGGCTTCCAGCAAGGTCCAGGGTAAATAAAAGTCTCTGTGATGGGGAGCAGGCACTGGCGAGCAGTGAGGCAGGCAGGAATCCAGATGAGATGAGTGCCAGGCACAGCCATTTCAGACCTCAGCTTTGTGGTAGGGTGACAGGTAACAAATGGGCACGGGCTCCGCCTTCTCATTAAACCAAACAATTAAACCGTCTGTAGCAGGCAGAGTTGTCAGCAATGTCAAAACCCAAGCAATTAACAGGGCTGCTGGGATTTATGTCCCCCACAAAGGGCTGCACGAGGGCTCTGACCATGGCAAGATGCCAGATAGCCCTTCTGTAGGCGGGAAAGGGAGGATGTTGCTGTTGCCTCATGTTCTCAGAAAACGGAAGCAATGGATTCAAACCCAACACACAAAAGCTCCTGGAACCAGCCTGCCCACCTGCCCGCATTTTCAAAGTGTTGGCGGGACAGAAGCTGCAGCTCACTTCTAGGTGCACCCAGAAGCTTCCTCAAGGATGGTCACAAAGGCCAGAGGGAGTGGTCTCATTCCCACCAATACCAGAAACTGTACTGCCTCACATGTTGGTCTTCTAGACAAACAGAGTGGGGCCAGTGAGATGGTCCCGTGAGATGGTTCCGTGGGTAGGGACTGTTCCCTTGTCACCAAGCCTGACAATTGGGACCCATGTGGTAGAAAGAGAGAATAAGGGGCTAGAGAGATGGCTCAGCAGTTAAGAGCACTTGATGCTCTTGAAGAAGATCTGAGTTTGGTTCCCAACACCCACAAAAAGTGGCTCACAACCACCTGAAACTCCAGCTCCAGGGTATCTGATACCCTCTTCAGACCTTGGAGGATACCCACACACATGTGCCAGGCACACACACACACACACACACACACACACACACAAATGTATTTTTTAATTACAAAACAGACCTGTTTTATAGGTAAAGCAGAGCCTGTTGGACAGCATGGTTGGAAAGGAGCCCTCACTGTTGAAGCTGAGGTGTCAGTACAGCAGCATCGGACTCTCCTTACTGGAGGCAAGGCCTGCACCCCTGGACAGATAGGACTGACCCCTCCAGGACCCTCACTCTGTCACTGGGGAAGGACTACCTGGGAGAGAGCTTTTCACACAAGACAGAGTCTTCAGCAAGTAGTCAGAGCAGGTGACTGGGAGGCATCTGGGCCACCAAGATCTTGGGGTGGAACACCAGACATGCTGCACACCCCACTCTGTTTGGGATGAAGCCAGAGCACTTCCTTCTGCCAAGGGGAGGAAGGCAGGAGCACCCAGCAGATAAGTGTCCAGGTCTGCACTCCACTGTACCAATGAGGACCCAGGGTTATAGAAGCCACATTTCATGCTAAGGGTGCAAGAAGTTTGCACCTCTCAGAGGGTTCTTAGTCTTCTGAAGGTCACAGCTCTCTCTCAGGGTCCAGGGGAGTTTTGCCTCCTCAACTCAGAAAATTACACACAGACACACCACACACATATACATACATACACATGTACACACACACCCATATATACATATATGCACAGATAGGCAAACATACATCCACACATACATAGATAAGCATACATACTGCACGCACACATATACCACACACATACACATACACACATCCCACATACACCACACATTCCCACATACCCACACCACATGCACACGCACACATGCACACACATACACACATTCACACACAAACCCTCTTTACATTTCCTCTCCTCTGCTTTCTGAGCTCAGGGCTCTGTTGATTGACCCAGTGCACTTTTCTATAAAGTCATAGTAAGGGGTCAGTCACCCTTCCTAACCAGGCCTGAAGGGACAGACCTAGAGAGAGAATTGCTCTTAAGCCTGCCCTGAACACTTGGGACTGGGTAGCCTAGAAGAGGCCAATAGGCTTTACCTGTAAGAACCAAGCCTGATCCCCCCCCCTGCCCATCCATCCTAACTCAGTGTGCTGCCTGGGGAGTCTCCCAAGGACACGAGGCGGGAGGGTTCTCATTCACTGGGTAAGCAATGCCAAGCACCTGCTATGTGTCAAACAAGGACGCTGCAGCTGTCTAACCACACCACTGCAGAGTGGAGGCCATCCCCATCCTTGAAACCAGCCAGTTTTCAAAGAATTTGAAATCTAGTCGGTTTAAGTGAGCAGCACCCCTCAAGGCCACACCACTGGGCAGCAGCAGCACCTGGCCTAGCACCCAGTCATTCTCAAGCAGCCGGGGGCAGAGGCTTCCAATCTCTGTTGTCATGCTTGGGATCTATGTCCCCAGCTGGTGGCACTATTGAGAGGTGACTGGATCTTGATGGTGCTAACTTCATCAATGGGTCATTAATGAGTTCAAGCTGACTGGGCAACTGGAGGGTGGAGGCTGCCTGAAGAATGTAGGGCACTCGGGGTATGCTGCAGAAGGGAGTATCCTGTTCCCAGTGCCTTCCTGTCTCCTCTCTGCTTTCTGGCTGAGGAGGTGAGCAGCTTGCTGTACTGCAGTCTCCTTCCACCATGGTGCTCTGCCTTACCTCAGTCCCATAGCAGTAGTCAGAATGAAAATCAGAAGGTTTTGAGCCAAGATCAAAACCTTCCCTCCTTTCAGCTGTTTTCCTTGGGTATTTTCTCCCAGTGATGGAAACTCTCACACTCACTAATTATAGAATTTCTTTCCTATACGTTGTGGGCTTAAGAACCCCAAGAGGCCCCAGTGCTGAGGACTGTTGAATAAATCAACATCCTCCCACAACACACGCAGGAATGTGGGGATCAGGAACACAGGCTTTGGGGCCACAGGCCAAGCGCACCACAGGAAGGAACACCTCAGGGCAGAAATAGAATGCTGTGGTTGCCAGCCTGGAAAATGCACACTGTGCCTGGGCCTTGATTGCAGGGAGCTGGGGTTGCTCCCTCAGGCTGCAGTCGGAATGAACTTCAAGACCGGGAGGAGCAGAGACCCCCTCCCCCATGGAGAGTCAGAGACCTAGAGAGCTGCCACCACCATGGGATCATGACACATACTTCAGTAAACATCTTATGGCAAGGAAGCAGCATGCCTTAAAAAAATGACAAGAACCAACCTTTCAGTACTTGGAGCCAAGAACCTACTGCTTCAATATGGCTCAGGGTTCAAGTTTTAAGTCACACCTTAGCTAACTCCATGTTAGCACAGTGACAGAGAAACAGGAAACATGAAAGTGAACTCCCAGGGCGTCTGGCTAAAGCAAGCTAAAGTTCTAAGGGCTGGTTTAGCCATGGGGCTGCAGATCAAGCTCTACTGGGATGGGCTCTGCCTAAAGCTCACAGAGCCCAGAGGAAGAGGCACAGGGACACCAGCATCCACCCCTGAGCTCCAGCTGTCAGATATGGATGCTCAACAAGTAAGAACATAACCCCATTGCACACAAAAGGGACTTTAGAAATAAAAGGAGAGGGGCTGGAGAGATGACTCAGCGGTTAAGAGCATTGGCTGTTCTTGTAGAGGAACTGGGTTCAAATCCCAGCACCCACATGATGGCTAACAACTGTCTGTAAATCCAGTTCTAGGGGATCCAACTCTTCTGTCCTCCACAGGCATTGCAGGACACGGGTGCACTTATACACACAAGCAGGCATAACACTCATACACATAAAATAAAAATAAAGAAATAAAAAGGGAACAGGTGAACATAATAAAGAACACTAAAGAACAAATAATTTATCAAAAGTAATCATTGAACTCAATAACTCAGTGAACTGTTTCAAAAGCACAGTCAGAATGAGGCAGGAAAATGCAGGGGATGGACAGAGAGGAACCGCGGCCAGAAAGAAAGAACAGCGAGCAGTGGATGGGCCTAAGGGCTGAAGAGAGAGGTTAAAAGGGAAG